CCCGGGGGGCCCCCGGGGGGCCCCCGGGGGCCCCCGGGGGGAAGAATACGAGGGGGCAGCGGAGGGGGCAGGAGGCGCGGGTGTTGAGCCAGCGGGCGATGCATGCGGAGTGGAAGAAGTGGGCGCAGGGCAGCGCGCGGAGAAGGTCTTGGGGAAGAAAGTCCGAAAGGCAAATGGCGCATGCAGCGGGGGGCGCTGGGGTGTACGTACACCGCAGCTGGGCCCAGGGCACGGGCCGCAGGCGCTGCAGCAGCTGCAGCGGGAGCGCGCAGCTGGCGAGGGGCTCGTTGCGGAAGAGCCGCTGCAGCTGCTGCTCCGGCAGCAGCAGCGCCAGCAGGAAGCCCGCGGCCGACAGCAGCAGCAGCAGCACGCTCGGGCCCAGCAGCGACAGGAAGCCCAGCACCAGCGCCGCCATGTACCGGCACAGCAGCGGCGCGCTGCTGCTGCTGCTGCTGCTGCTGCTGCTGCTGCGTGCGGCCGCGCTGCAGCTGCCGTCCGTGTACATGGCGTGCAGCGCAGCAAACATCACGCTGCAGCAGCAGCACCACGCCAGCCGCGCCAGCTGCCAGCAGCAACTCCGCAGCAAACTCGCCAGCTCCTGGTCCACTGGTCTGGACCACCACACCAGCCGCAGGTCCCGCACCCGCTGCAGCACGCAGCAGCAGCAGCACAGCCGCACCGCCGAGGCCCCCAGCAGCAGCAGCAGCAGCGGGAAGTACGCCAGGCCCCACAGCGGGCCCTCCTCCTGCAGCACAGAGTACAGCAGCACCCCCAAGTGCGCCCCACACATCGCAGCAGCAGCAGCAACTGCTGCTGCTTCCCAGTAAAACAAAAAGTCCAGACACACGCGCACTCCCAGCACCCCCCGCGGCAGCCGCAGCGTACATACACCTCGCCGCCGCCTCCTGCTGCTGCTGCTGCTGCTGCTGCTGCTGCTGCTGCTGCAACCCACAGATAAGTACCGCCGCCGCAAGTGCGGATCCGCCCCCGCCCGCACCATCCACAGCGGCAGCCCCCAGTACTTCATCAACCGCTCCAGCATTTTCGAACTGCTGCTGCTGCTGCGCTGCTGCTGCTGCTGCTGCTGCTGCTGCTGTTGCTGTTGCTGTTGCTGGAGGCAGAAGGACCCCACATTACAGCGCGCGACGAAACGGCCCCGCCGCAGGGGAGGCGCAGTGCAACGCGCAGCAGCTCCGCCAAAGGGCCAAGCTGTTGCTGCTGCTGCTGCTGCTGCTGCTGCTGCTCTCGGGACTGGGGCTTCTCGGGGAGGGTTTGCTGGCTGCGTCTGGGGCAGCCGCTGCTGCGCGTCGCCGCGGAGTTGACTGCAGCCGGAAGGGAAGCAGTCCGCTGCTGCAGCGGCTCGCTGCTGCTGCTGCTGCTGCTGCAGCAAAGGGCGGCGCTGCTGCTGAGCCGCAAAAGCACAAATGCGACAGAGGGGAAATGAAAGAGAAGCAGCAAATGAAGGAAATAGCAGCAAAGGGGAAAGGCGAGTTTGTCTCAGTGGGCTCCGCCACAGCCAGCGGGGGAGCGCGCGCGCCCGGATGCAGGAGAAGAAAGGGTTTTTTGAAGGAAATAAGAAATTAAATGTTTTAATAAAATGTTTTATGTTTTAAATTCCATCTACTGCAGCAAATTGCACCGCGGGAGAGCCGCAGGGCCCCTCAGAACGAGCCCCCCGTGGCTGCCGAGCCTCGTGCCCGGCGACGCGCCGATTGTGGCTCTCCGTCGGGGCTTTTTTTCCCCTTTTTCGCAGCTTCGAAAGTCTTTTAATTATGATTTAAATGCCAATTGAGTCGACCCAACTCGCCCTCAGCAGCAGGAAAAAAAACGGAGAAATTCCGCGGCGAACGGCCGGCGGACGTGGGTGGTTTGGTTAGGGTGTACAGACACCCCAAGTCGGCGCTGGCAAGCGCTCCAAAGTCTCCTCTGCAGACTTTTCAATTCAGAACATTTTTATTTCTTCTTTTTCCTCTTCAATTGCAGCTTCCGCGAGCACGTTCTGCATTTAAAAGTCCTCGCGCCCCCACTTCGGGTGTCTGTACACCCCAGAGCGCTGGCGCCCGCCACAAACGCCCCAGCTGTCTGTACACCTCCAGCCCCCCCTCCTACGCAGCAGCAAAAGAGCTCCATTACTTGTTAATTAAAGTTATTTTGCCTTTTTCTATTTTTCTAGAAGCAGCTGGAGGCGAGCTGCTGCGATGCAGCACCACTCTACCAGACACGGCAGCTTGCTGCTGCTGCTGCTGCTGCTGCTGCTGCTGCAGTCCCGCCTCTCCCCAGCTTGAGGCAACAGCAGCAAACACCTCTCCAAGGCAGCAGCGACTTCTTGCTGCTGCACTAAAGGGCCCCCTAGCTATGGCTAGCAGCACAAAGGCCGAGGCCTCCGCACCTAGCCATGGCTAGCTGCAGCAGCTGCAGCAGCTGCAGCTGCTCAGCAGCTGCAGCTGCTCAGCAGCTGCAGCAGCTGCAGCTAGCCAGGGCAAGACACAGCCAGCAGCAGCTAGCTACGGCCAAGTGCAGCGAACCTCAGGTAGCAGCAGCAAGCCACGGCAAGCAGCAGCAAACCACAGCTGGCAGCAGCAAGCCACCACTAGCAGCAGCAAACCACAGCTAGCAGCAGCACGCCACGACCAGCAGCAGCAAGCGAGAGTTAGCAGCAGCTAGTTGCGGCTAGCAGCAGCTGGTTACGGCTAGCAGCAGCAAGCCACATCTAGCAGCAGCTAGCCTGACTTAGCAGCAGCCAGCAGCGGCGAGCAGCAGCAAGCCACAGCTAGCAGCAGCTAGCCAGAGTTAGCAGCATTTAGCCGTACATAGCAGCAGCTAGCAGCGGCTAGCAGCAGCTAGCCACGCCTAGCAGCAGCTAGCCACAGACAGCAGCAGCTAGCAGTCGATAGCAGCAGCTAGAAGTGCCTAGCAGCAGCTAGCCATATCTAGCAGCAGCTAGCCATATCTGACAGCAGCTAGCCATATCTAGCTGCAGCTAGCTATATCTAGCTACAGCTAGCCATATCTAGCAGCAGCTAGCCATATATAGCAGCAGCTAGCCACGGCTAGCAGCAGCTAACCATATGCAGCAGCAGCTAGCCAAGGACAGCAGCAGATGGGTTTGGCGCTGAGGTGTACATACACCCCGCGGTGTCTGTACAGCCCGCCGTCGCCAGCTAGCTAGCAGCTAGCCAGCAGCTGCTGCTGCTGCTGGAGTCGGTGTGCTGCTGCAGCAGACGTGCTGCTGCAGTAGTGTGCTGCTGCAGCAGATGAGATAGCTAGCAGCTAGCTAGCAGCTAGCTGCCGTAAATATAAATATTTTTAATTGGCAACTTGCTGCGCGAAGTGAAGAAGCAAAGACCTGTTCAAACACGCCAGGGAAGCAGCAGCAGCAAATTAAGAAAGTTGAAGCAGCAGCAGCAGCAGCAGCAGCAGCAGCACGCCGCGGCGTTCAAACTTTGCAGCTGAGGTGTACGTACACCTCGCGCTGTTTCCCCTCCTACTTTTTGCTTGCCTCCCTATTACGCTCTAAATCTGCTGCTGCTGCTGCTGCAGATGTGCTGCAGCAGCAGAAGTGCTGCAGCAGCAGAAGTGCCGCAGCAGCAGAATTGCTGCAGCAGCAGCCTGTGCCGACCGCAGCGAGCAGCAAAATGGACAAAATAAAGATATGAAGAAATAAATAAATAGAATGAAAAATAAATAAATAAATAAACAATAAAATAAATAAATTTAATTAAATAAAATGTCAATGTTGCAAAGCTCGCAGCAGCGCAGCAACCATCCAGGGGCCCCCGCCCTCAGAGGGTTTAGGGGGCCCCCCTCACTCGTGCTGCTGCTGCTGCAGCCTTGTTGCTGCTGCTGCTGCTGCAGCAGCAGCTCTCTCAAGCCCGCCCCAACAGCGCAGCTGCTGGGGGCCCCACGCCTGCCTCTTGCTGCCTTGTGGGGGCCCCCTGGGGGCCCCCCAGGGGCCCCCAAAAGAGCCCCGGGGGGCCCCCCGGGGGCCCCCGGAGGCCCCCAAAAGAGCCCCCGGGGCCCCCGAAGGGCCCCCTAGGGGCCCCCGGGGGCCCCCAGGGGCCCCCCGGGGCCCCTAAAAAGGTGCAGGAGTCAGCTAGAATGGGGGGGGGGCCCCCAGGGGCCCCCAGGGGCCCCCCGGGGCCCCTGAAAAGGTGCAGGAGTCAGCTAGAATGGGGAGGGGGCCCCCAGGGGGGCCCCCGCGAGCTCGAGAGCAGCAAGAAGCTCCGGTGCAGCAGGAAGGGGAGAGAGGCCCCTGCGGTGTCTGTCCAGTGCACTCCAAATGAGATCTCTTTCGTAATAAATTTCAAAAGCTCCTGTCTGCAGCAGAAAGCTGCTGCAGACAGCAGCAGCAACAAAAACAGCAGCAACGAGCAGCAGGCGGTTGGCCTCCGCTGCTGCTGCTGCTGCGGCGGCGCGCTCGCGCGGCAGCAGCAGCGGCAGCAGCTGCCGCGGCAGCAGCAGCAGCAGCAGCAGCAGCCAGCGCGCCCCGCTCACAGCAGCCCCCAGCAGCTGCAGCAGCAAACAGGGACGGTAGGGCTGCTGCAGCACGCGGAAACCCTCCAAAGTCCCCAAGTGGTATTCCAAGAAACTCTTTAGCTGCTGCAGTGCTGCTGCTGAGCCTCAGGAGGGGCAATACTGCACAGTGACTTGGTGTGGGGTGATGGCCTGCGGCAGCGGGTTCTGCGCCTCCAGCAGCCAGCCCCACCTGCTGCTGCTGCTGCTGCTGCTGCTGCTGCTGCTGCTGCTGCTGCTGCTGGGGGGGGGCTCGCTGCTCAGGCTGCTCAGCGCAGACAGCAGCGAAGGCACCGCCAGCAGCGCACCCAGCACCAGCAGCGCGACCAGCGCGCCGCCCTCTTGCCGCTGCTGCCGCTGTTGCTGCTGCTGCTGCTGCTGCTGCTGCGGCCGCAACTCACGGCCAGAGGCCCCCTGGCCCCCCTCGGGACCCTCCATTGCCCCTTTTAATTGTATTTGTGTATTTTAATTCCGAAAATTCAACTTCGATGCAAAAAGGAAAGAAAATGACCGGCGAATTCCCGCGGCGGCGCCTCTGCAGCAGCGAGAGGTGTACATACACCCCAGGCAGCTGCAGCACACCTGCCCGCAGCTCTTCTTAAATATATTTCTTTTCTTCTAAACCAAAAGAGAAATTAATTTAATGCATTTGCTCCTTCCAAAGAAGGCCTCCAGCGCTGCAGCAGCTGCTGCGGCGGCTGCTGCTGCTGCTGCTTTGCTGCGCCGCTGCGGCCCCGCCCGCCGCTGCTGCTGCTGCTGCTGCTGGCAGGCGGGCCCCACAGCTGCTGCTGCTGCCTACACTGCACAGACCACTCGTAGGGCCCCCTGCTGCTGCTGCTGAAATGCAGCGCAGCAGCAGCAATTTGTCCGCATATTTATTAATGTTTTTTTATTATAAAATTTTGAAGCAGCAACAGCTGCAGCAGCAGCAGCTGGGAAGCAGCAGCAGCTGCTGCTGCTGCGCAGATTGCTGCTGCGAGGACAGTGGTCCGCGTCGGCAGCGGCCCCCACACTGCAGCAGAAGCAGCAGAAGCAAATGGAAATGCAGCAACAGAAGCTGCAGCAAGACTCACAGCAAAATCGGCAGTCTTAAGGAAAGCAGCAGCAGAAGCTGCAGCAGGAGCAGGAGCAGCAACAGCAGCAGCTGCTGCTGCTGCGTCCTCAGGAGAGACACATTGAGTCCTCCCCTGTTAGCAGCAGCAGCTCAAATTTGCTGCTGCTGCTGCTACTGCTGCTGCTTTTAAAAAGTGTGCATGTGCTGCGGTAAGCTCGAGCCACCAGCAACAGGGGACTGAAGCAAGCCACACAACAACTGCAGCAGCAGCAGCAGCAGCAGCAGCAACAGCAACAGCAGCACAAGTGACAACGGCAAAGCCCGCAGCAAAAACAGGAGCGACAACCGCGGCAGCAGCAGCAGCAATAGCAAAGCTTGCAGCAGCAGCAGCAACAACTGCAGCAGCAACAACTGCAGCAGCAACTGCAGCAGCAACTGCAGCAGCAACTGCAGCAGCAGCAGCAAAGGCAGAGGAAGCAAGATGGCGTCGCTGCTGCGGAGGGGGAAGGCTACGCCTTCCATGCCAGCAGCAAAAGCAGCAGCAAAGCCTGAAGCAGCAGCAGCAGCAAAGCCTGCAGCAGCAGCAGCAAAGACGAAAGCCCCGCTGACACTGAAGGAGAGACAGAAGCAGCAGCAAGAGCTGCGGGAGCGGCTGCTGCAGCAGCAGAAGCAGCAGCAAGGGAAGCCTTTTGCTGCTCCCAAAATTAAAGCCAAATTTGTCTCTCAAGTCAAGAAACCTGTTGCTGCACTGGACGCAGCAGCAGCAAAACCAGCAGCAGCAGCAGCAGCAGCAGCAAAGCCAGCAGCAGCAGCAGCAGTAAAACCAGCAGCAGCCGCAGCGAAACCTGCAGCACCAGCAAAGCCTGCACCAGCGGGAGCAGCAAAACCAGAGGCAGCAGCAGCAGCAGCAAAGCCAGCAGCAGCGAAGCCTGCAGCACCAGGAGCAAAGCTTGTGGGGAAAGCGCCTCCTGCTGCTGCTGCTGCTGCTGATTCCAAGGGCCCGCCAGCAGCAGCAGCAAAGCCCGAAGCAGCAGCAGCAGCAGCAGGAAAAACAGCAGCAGCTGCAGCATCTCCACCAGCTGCAAAGCCTGTTGCAGCAGACGCAGCAGCAGGGGCCCCCAAGGGGCCCCCGGTGCCCCCAGGGGCCCCCAAGGGGCCCCCGGTGCCCCCAGGGGCCCCCAAGGGTCCCAGTCTTAAGGTAGATGTGAAGCCTAAGGGGCCCCCGGGGGCCCCCAAGCCCCTGGGGGTTGAAATAAAGCCAAAGGGGCCCCCGGGGGCCCCCACAGCAAAAATTGAAATAAAGCCAAAGGGGCCCCCGGGGGGCCCCCCGGGCCCCAAGGAAGCAGGGGCCCCCAAGGGGCCCCCAGAGTCTGCTGCAGTTAAGTCGAAGCCGGGGCCCCCGGGGGCCCCCAAGGGGGCCCCCAAGGGGGCCTCCGAGGAGGGGGCAAAGCTGGGTGCGAAGCCAGCAGCAGCAGCAGCAAAGACCGCAGCAAAAGGAGACGCAGCAGCAGCAGCAGCAGCAGCAGCAAAGCCTGCAGCAGGGGGCCCCGCCCCCCGGAAAACCCTGGCAGATTTGCTGGCAGCAGAAAAGAAAAAAATGGCCCCTAGGAAAACCCTTGCTGAACTTTTGGGTACTAAGGGGGCCCCCGAGGGAGGCCCCCCTAAGGAGGGGGCCCCCGGGGGCCCCGCAGCAGCAGCAGCAGCAGCGGGGGACGCTGGCGGTGCTGCGAAGCAGCAGCCGGTGAGCGAGGAAGCAGCAGCAGCAGCAACAGCAGTGGCTGCGTTTGCTGCTGCTAACCCCGAAGATTTTGCTGCTTCTCTCATTTCTGCTGCTGGCAAAAAAGCAGAAATTCTTTCGAAGTTGAAAACCCTAAACCCTAGCCTTCCCGAGGCGGCGCTGGCCACGGCCCTCAAGAAGCTCCCGGGTCCGCGAGGGTTTAGGGTTTAGGGTTTAGGGTTTAGGGTTTGGGGGTTGGGGTTTGGGGTTTGGGGTTTAGGGTTTGGGGGTACACACAGGGAGCTCTCTGCCCAGCACTTGTACCTGCAGATACTTCCGCTGCCCCCTGAGGGTTTAGGGTTTAGGGTTTAGGGTTTAGAGTTTGGGGTTTGTTGCGTGTGTTTTGCTGCTAGCCTCTGAGGCTGCCTTTGTCTCCTTGAGGGTTTACTTAGGAGAGCGTTGGGGGCAAGAGCGTAAGAGGCTTCTTGCTGCTGCTGCTGCTGCTGCTGCTGCTCCAAAGGCAGCGGGGGCCCCCGAGGGGCCCCCAACCTCTAAAGGGGGGCCCCCTGCAGAGGCCTCTAAGGCAGGGGCCCCCAAGGATACCCCCGCAGCTAAGGGGGCCCCCGGGGCCCCGGGGGCCCCCAAGTCCCCGGGGGCCCCCGAAGCCAAGGGGGCCCCACAAGCCAAGGGGGCCCCCCAGGAGAAGAGGGTTTATCTGTTGAGGGTTTAGCTCGAAAGGCAATGACTGCAATGCCTAAAGTGTGCGAGGCGAAGACTTGGCAAGAAGCTGCGGAGGTCTATGCAGGCGCGCAAACCCTAAACCCTAAACCCTAAACCCTAGCTGCAAGGGGCTCCTGCGACCCCTGCGAAAACCCTTTCTCCTGGATGCTTCCGCGGGCTCTTTGACTTTAGGGTATTTGTACTAGCTTTGTGCGCGACAAGAGCTGGGGTTTAGGGTTTAGGGTTTAGGGTTTAGGGTTTAGGGTTTAGGGTTTGGGCGCAGAGTGCAGCCTCGCGGCTGCGGCTGTTCTTTCGGAGTGGAGGAAAACTCATCCAGAAGAATTTGAAAAGGAAATCGGCAAAGACTTGGTGCAGCAGCAAACTGCAAAACTCAAGCAGCAGCAGCAGCAGCAGCAGCAGCAGCAGCCGAAGCAGCAGCAGGAGCCGAAGCAGCAGCTGCAGCCGCAGCAGCCGAAGCAACAGCAGCAGCAGCAGCAGTCGAAGCAACAGCAGCAGCAGCAGCCGAAGCAGCCGCAGCAGCAGCAAGAGCAGAAACACGAGGAGGGGCAGAAGAAGGCGGAGCCGGAGAAGCAGGAGCAGGAGCAGCAGCAGGCGCAGCAGCAGGACCAGCAGCAGCAGCAGCAACAGCAGCAGCAGCAGCAGAGTGCTGATGCTGCTGCTTCTCCAACTTCATTTCTTTCCAAATTCCCCACAGGCCTCCCAAATGATTTAAAGGAAAAAATAAAAAAACAAAAAACCAGAGACCCGGACAAGGCAGTGCTGCTTCTTCAAGATTCCTTAGGTCTGCTGCTGCTGCATTTGCTTCTGCTGCTGCTTCTGCTGCTGCTGCTGCTTTTGCTTCTGCCTATTTTGGTTTGTTCTGCTGGCTTGTGGCGGCGGCAGCTGCTGTTGCTTTGGCGCTGTGGCTGAGCTCCTTGCTGCAGTTGCCTTGACTGCTGCTGCTGTTGCTGCTGTTGCTGTTGCTGCTGCTGCTGCTGCTGCAGACATGGAGCGTTTGGATGTGCTGCTGCCGCTGCTGATATCCATGAACGACTATTTGGCGCTGCTGCTGCTGACTGCGGAGAAGCAGCAAGCCTTGGAAGCAGCAGCAGCGCGACGGCAGCAGCAGCAGCAGCAAGACGCAGCAGCAAAGAAGTCGAGTGCAGCAAAAGCGCGGCCAGGAGCAGCAGCAGCAAAAAGAGACAGCGTTCCTGCTTTTATGACAAGAGGGCGTGTGGGGTTTGCAGCAAAAGCAGCACAAACAACTGCTGCTGCTGCTGCTGCTGCGAAGCAAAAGGAAGCAGCAGGAGAGCAGCAGCTGCGGATGTTTGCTGCTGAGGTGTACAGACACCTCAGCTGCTTCCCACAATTCCTCATCATCGGAGCAGCAAAGAAATGCCTCGGTAATTATTATTATTTTAATTAATTAATTAATTAATTAATTAATTATGTTAATTAATTAATTAACTAGTTAAATTAATTAATTAATTACATCATTAATTAAACTAATTGATGATTTAATTAATTAGTACCACTGCTGCTGCTGCTGCTACTGCTGCTCCTGCTAATACTACTACTACTACCACTGCTGCTGCTGCTACTGTTCCTGCTGCTACTCCTGCTGCTGCTGCTACAACTACCATTGCTGCTGCTGCTGCTACTCCTGCTGCTGCTGCTGCTGCTACTCCTACTGTTGCTGCTGCTGCTGCTGCTGCAGCTGCTGGCGTGCGGCGGCTGGAGTGTCCACTGGTGACGGTGCTGCTGCGGAAGTCGGAGGGCTCGCACGTGCATTTGCTGCTGGTGCACTGGCTGCTGCAGCAGCAGCCGGCGAAGGATTTGCTGCAGCTCAGCAGCACTTGTGCTGCATGCAAAGAAGCTGTAGACATTTTCTTCAGAAGAACTTTAGCTGCGCTGCCCTTCCAGGCCGAGCCAGCCATCTCAGACATACAGTACTGTGCGCTCCTGCTGCTGCTGCTGCTGCTGCTGCTGCTGCATGCTGTGGCTTGCTGCTTCTCCTGCTGCTGCTTCTGCGGCTTCTGCTGCTGCTGCTGCTGCTGCTGCTTATGCTTCTTCTGCTGCTTCTGTTGCGGCCTGCTGCTGCTGCTGCTTGCTGCTGCTGCTGCTTGCTGTTGTTGCTGCTGCTGCGACTACCACGCCCACGCCCCCGCCGCCGCCGCCGCCGCCGCTGTTGCTGCTGCTGCTGCTGCTGCTGCTGCTGCAGGGTACAACTGCGTGCGCTTTTTCTTCCAAGCGGCGTGCTGGGTGTCCCCGCTGGACCGGCTGCGCAGCAGCAAAGTTGCTGCTGCTGCGCTGCGGAAAGCAAAAGAAACTTTTCCTGTTGCTGCTGATGGAATTAAATCTTCTGTGTCTGTCACTCTCGACAAAATCCCCCCCGAAGCAATTTGCTGCTGCCCCTTCCCCGTCCCCATGCGCCACACGGCGCTCGGCGCAGCCAGGTCCGAGGGTTTAGGGTTTAGGGTTAAGGGTTTAGGGTTTGGGGTTTAGGGTTTGGGGTTGGGCTGGGGGATAGGCGCTGCGAGGGTTTGGAGGAAGGGTTTGGGGTTTGGCGGCGAGGCCCTGCGAGGGTTTAGGGTCTGGCTGCTAGCGGATTTGGGACTCTAGGGTTTAGGGTTTAGGGTTTGGGGTTTGGGGGCTAGGAACAATTAGGGTTTAGGGTTTAGTGGCGCTCCACGGAGCCGGCTGCTGCCAGCCCCCCCTCCGCCACCCCCGCCACCCCGCTGCTGCTGCTGCTGCTGCTGCTGCTGCTGCTGCTGCTGCTGCTGCTGCTGCTGCTGCTGCTGCTGCTGCTGCTGCTGCTTAGGGGGGGCGAGGGCGCGGGGAAAACCACAGTGAGCGAAATGAGTTTGGGGGAATTCATTTCGGAGTATCGGCAAAGAGCAAAAGTGAAGTCCGACGAACTCGCCTGGACCCTTTGTGCTGCTGTTTGCGACGAAGACCTCGCCAGCCGCCTGCTTCTCTCGGTCTGCTGCTGCTGCTGCTGCTGCTGCTGCTGCTGCTGCTGCTGCTGCTGCTGCTGCTGCTGCTGCTGCTGCTGATGCTGATGCTGCTGCTGCTGCTGCTGCTGCTGCTGCTGCTGCTGCTGCTGCTGCTGCTGCTGCTGCTGCTGCTGCTGCTGCTGCTGCTGCTGCTGCTGCTGCTGCTGCTGCTGCTGCTGCTGCTGCTGCTGCTGCTGCTGCTGCTGCTGCTGCTGCTGCTGCTGCTGCTGCTGCTGCTGCTGCTGCTGCTGCTGCTGCTGCTGCTGCTGCTGCTGCTGCTGCTGCTGCTGCTGCTGCTGCTGCTGCTGCTGCTGCTGCTGCTGCTGCTGCTGCTGCTGCTCCTGCTCCTGCTGCTGCTGCTGCTGCTGCTGCTGCTGCTGCTGCTGGTGCTGGTGCTGGTGCTGTTGGTGCTGGTGGGTGGTGCTGCGGAGAGGCTCTGCTGCTGCGGGCACAAACTGCCGCTGTTGCTGCTGCTAGGAAGCCCTGCTGCTGCAGCGAGAACCTGTTGCTGCAGCGAGAACCTGCTGATGCAGAACTCCTGCAGCAGCAGCAGTGCTGCAGCAGCAAATGCACTTTCGTTATGCAGCCTGTAGTGCTGTGCGCGTAGTCATCTAAAAAGAAGCCAACAGCTAAAACCCTAAACCCTAAACCCTAAACCCTTTCCAGGGCCTCACATATTTCCTTCAGTTGAAGCCCTACCCACCCTCCACCCCACAAATCGTCTCCCTTTATCCCTCACCATCCATCACCGCCTCTGCTGCCGCTGCTGCTGCTGGTGCTGCTGCTGCTGCTGCTGCTGCAGCTGCTGCAGAGCATGAAGAAGGCGGTGGAGAGGCACTCGGGCAGCGCGACTTTTCGCAGAGTTGAATTTGTGGCTTCTTTGGGGGCCTTTGTGGAACACAGAGTTTGGCTGCAGGTGGAGTTTTACTGGGGGGGCAAGAGTTTGCTGCAGCAGCAGCAGCAGCAGCACGCGCACCACCAGCAGCACCTGCAGCAGCAGCAACGCAGCCTCTTCTTCACCCTCGCAGACCACTTCACTTGGGCTGCTTGAACTTCTTTTATTTTTATTTTTATTGTTATATTTATTTTTTTTTTCAAGTTTCAGCTCCCCACACTTCGGGCTTCAGGTGTACCTACACTGCAGACTGTGGGCAAAAACCCCGAAGCAAAGAAAGCTACTGCTACCACTGCTGCTGCTGCTACTGCTGCTGCTCTGCTACTGCTGCTGCTCTGCCACTGCTGCTAGTGCTGCTGCTGCTGTTCCTGCTGCTGCTGCTGCTGCTGCTGGTGTTTGGTAGGTGCTTAGCAGCGGCTGCACCAGATTGGAGTCCGTGGAAATGCAGCGTCTGAAGGCGAGCTGAAGAAGCAGGCAGCAGCCAGGAGAGTCTTTAGAAAAGCTGCTGCAGCAGCTGCTGCAGCCGTGGCGCTGCTGTCGCGCATGCAGAGTGTGCATGCGTCTGTGCATGCGTCTGTGCATGCAGCGCATGCATGAGGGCGCATGCAGCGCATGCATGCGTCTGCGCATGCGGCACGTGCATGCGGCAGTGCGTGCAGCGCATGCAGGCGCGCGGCTGCGCATGCAGCGCGCGCATGCATGCGGCTGCGCATGCGAAGTCTGTGCAGCCACGGGAGGCGCTCGCAGCCAACGGGCAGCAGCAGCCGCTGCAGCGCAGCAGCCGCTGCAGCGCAGCAGCCGCTGCAGCGCAGCAGCAAGCTGCGCTGCTGCTGAGTTCAAAATGTCAGTTGGCTTTGGCCTGCATGAGCTCCGTCTGGTCTGCGGCCTTCGCTGAACGCGCGGCCATCGGCGCCGGCGAAGGCGTGCTGCGGTAAAATCGCGAAATGTAAACGAAAAACAAAATCACAAGAATAAATATCGATAAGTTTATCAAAAAGTTCCGCAAATACACGTAGCTTTCGCCCGCGGCGGGGGGCCGCGCGTCCGCCGTTTCTTCTGAATCCGCACAAGCCGCAACTTGAACTCCCCCGATCCTCCGCTTTCCAGTGCGAACTTGGGGAAGAAGAACATATTTTTCTGCACAAAAGGAGCTGCTGCTGCTTAGAAACGTGGATTTAAAAACAAAATTCGAAAAAGACTTACGAACGTCTTGTATTCCGCTGCCCGCGCGGAGCTGGCCGAGCCCTTCGTCGAGGCCGCGAACCTGCGACGCAAACTGCGGGAAAACTCCTCGAAATTCGGAATTTCTAAACTACACAACTTCCAAAAAGAATGCTTAATTTAATTAAAGTGATGCGACTTCTTGAAATGGCCGGATCGGCCGAGTTTCCGGAACTGTGCAAGTTGCACTTCTCAGGTGTATACGCAGCTCGCCCGCCGCGCGCGCTGACCTGCAAAATGTGATTCATCACAACTGCTGTTCTAGCTCCAGCAACCAGGATGCGTTTTTTGATGATTTCGAAGAAGAGAAACTCCGAAGTTCTGTCCAGCACATACACATTTGGCTCGTCCTTCTTCTTCGTCATGCGACTCAGCAGCGGGTAGATCTGCGCAGCAGCAGCAGCAACTCGGCAGCAGCAACAGCCTGCAGCTCTTGTGCTGCCACGCGGAAACAACCGAGCGACAAGAACTGCAGCACTGCAGCAGCAACTGCGAACAGAAGTCCACTCGGGACTTTTAAATTCTAAAAATAAATCTTTTGAACTCCCGACTTCTGCGCAAAGCAAAGCTCGGTTTTCCCGCGCCCAAGATAAAAAATACGTTTCTTTCCGCGCCGCAAATACTGTCTTCTCTTCTTCGTAAAAAGACTTCACCGAATTCACATGCGTCCAACCTGCGCGCCCACGCGAAGCAGCAGCAGCAGCAGCAGCAGCAGCAACAGCAGCAGCGACAGCGGCAGCACGAGGAGCTCTCAGTAGCTGAGCACAGCTTTGCTGCTTGCCTCCAGGCGGCCCCTAGGCGCTGCGTGCCCCGCCCCAGCCACCCCACTTAGGGTTTAGGGTTTAGGGTTTAGGGTTTAGGGTTTGGGGCGCACCTGAGTACCAGAAGGTCTGCCTCTCGCCCATAATCTTTTTGATGAAAGCGCCTTCGATGAACTCGTACAAACTGCTGCGCTGCTTTTCCCGCGTGCCGTCTCCTGCTTCGTATTCGACTGAGACACAGACACGCAACCCCCCTGCCGCTGCTGCTGCTGCTGCTGCTGCTGCTGCAGCTGAGGCCGCTGCTGCTGCGGCTGCTGCTGCTTCTGCAGCAGCAGCGACGGACGCCCGCCGGCTGCAGGCGCCAGCAGCAGTGAGGGCCCGCGAACGGCACTTGCTGCTGCGCCGCGTGCATGCATGCATGCATGCATGCATGCATGCATGCGTGCATGCATGCAGCGGGGTGTATGTACACCGCACCGAAAATGGTCCTGCCGAAGTCGTCTTCCGAAGAGCCCCAGTGGAGGGGCTCGTGCATATCTCCGATGAGATTAATTACATATTTCACCTGAGAAGCAAAAATAAAAGAATAAAAAGCAACTGCTGCTGCTGCTGCTGCTGCTGCATGTTCAGCCGCCAACGCCTCATCTGCTGCTGCTGCTTCCTGCTTTTTTGCGCTGCTGCAGCAGCGCGTGTGTAGCAGCAGCACCTGTGCTGCAGCAGCAGCAGCAGCTGCAACTCGGCAGTTATCTCAACTTCAATTCTTAATCTAATTTAATTTTAAATTCAATTTTATTTTTGTTTTTTAATTTAATTTAATTTTTAATTTTCATTTTGACTCACTGCGTCTGCGTCTGTCGTTTCGATGCCGTGGGGAAAAACAAACTTGTCCGTGCGTATCACAGGGTCAGCTGCAGCAGCAGCAGCAGCAGCAGCAGCAGCGGGTCAGGTAGCAGCTTCAACAGTAGCAGCAGCAGCAGCAACAGCCGCAGCAGCAAGAGCAGCAGCAGCAGCAGCAGCAAGAGCAGCAGCGCCGCGGCTCCGGCAGCCCGCAGCGTGGAGTGTATGTACAGCTGCTCAGCGCTCGCCCCAAGCCTTCGGCGCAGACAATCCCCCCCAGCAGCAGCAGCAGCAGCAGCAGCAGCAGCAGCAGCAGACCTGGGTCCCTGGGTTCCTGGTTTTTCTCCGGGGCCGTGAGTCTGTAGAAGAAGTAGGTGAGGGCCTCCAGCAAGCAGCCGTCTGCTGCTGCGCTGCTGCTGCTGCAGAGGCTGCGCTGGATTTCCGTATTTGCTGCTGTCGGCGGCGGCGAAGGACAAGTTTGCTGCCGCTGGAAGTGCAGCGGCGCAGTCAGCGGGTACTTCTCCGTCACGCGGTGCGCCCAGCCTGCAGCAGCAGCAGCAGCAGCAGCAGGGGGAGCGGCAGCAGCAGCAGGTGACGCGGCAGCAGCAGCAGCTGACGTGGCAGCGGCAGCAGCTAGAAGCAGCAGCAGGTGCAGCAGCAGCAGGTGGGTGGGGCAGCAGCAGCAGGTGAAGCGGCAGCAGCAGCGGGTAGAGCAGCAGCAGCAGCAGCGGGAAGAGCAGCAGCAGCAGCAGGCGCAGCTGCAGCAACAGTAGTTCAATTGCAGCAGCAGCAGGTGAAGCAGCAGCAACACCAATTACGGAGACGGCAGCAGCAGCAGCAGAAGCTGCAGCTGATACCCTAAAGGCAGAAACAGTAGCAGCAACAGCAGCAGCAGCAGCAGCAGCAGCAACTCCTACCGGACACATCTGCTACGTCCTTTCCGTTGAGCAACCGGCGGAGCGCTTGGTTCGCTTGCATTGTCAGACCTGAGAAGCACTCAAACCCTAAACCCTAAACCCTAAACCCTAAACCCTAAACCCTAAACCCTCGAAGGCAGCAGAGGGGGTGGGGCTCGAGGGGAAAAGTTTGAAAAATAAAAATGAAAAATGAGGACAAGACACAGGCATTCGGGTGTACGTACACCCGGTGGGCCTGCTGCTGCAGCACGCCGCTGGAATTGCTGCTGCTGCTGCTGCTACTGCTGCTGCTGCTGCTGCTGCACTGCAGCAGAACACGGGTGGGGTGAACGCACACTACCTGATAGAGCTGTCATTGAGATGGCTTCGTGTGCGGGGGCCTCAAAGGCTGCTCCCTTTTGCTGCTGCTGCAGCAGCAGCAGCAGCAGCAGCGCCAGAGCGGCGCTGCTGCTGCTGCGCGCGCGAGAGGCAGCAGCCATCTTCTTCTATGCAAATGGCGGAGCGGAGGTGGCAGCAGCAGCAGCAGCAGCAGCAGCTTCTTCGGTTGTTGCTGCTTCTTGAGGCCTGTTTGCTGCTTCTGCTGCAGCTATTTCGCGAGTTTCTGCAGCCACAGTCACTGCTGCAGCGGCTAAATCAAGTGTGTCTTTGACTCGCCGCCGCTGCTGCTGCTGCTGCTGCTGCTGCTGCTGCTGCGGAAGCTGCTGCAGCTGCAGAGCCCTCACCCGCCTTCGACACGAAAAAAAAGACAAAGCAGCTGACAGCAGGTGTACATACACCCAAATTTCATACACCCGAATTCAGGAAATCCACGCCGCGAACCGAGGCTGCTGCTGCTGCTGCTGCTGCTGCTGCTGCACGCCCCCGCGAACGACTGCAGTCGTTGAAGGCCAGAAACCAAACCCTAAACCCTAAACCCTAAATCCTAAAGGCTCAGTCAACAGTACTTCCATTTTCAAAATGGAACTGCTGCAGTGCTGCGACACTTTCTGTCCCGTCTTGCTGCTGTTTCGTAGGAGCAGCAGCAGCAAGAGCAGCAGCCAGCCCTCTGCGGAGCAGCAGCAGCAGTCGTTCCCGCTGCTGCAGCAGCAGCAGCAGCAGTAGCTTCTGCAGCTACGTAAATCCTTTTGACTTCTTCAGCAGCTAAGAGGCGCTTCACCTGCTGCCTTGGCAGTCCTTGCTGCCTCGAGTTGCTGCAGCTGCTGCAGCTGCTTCAGCAGCAGCGCCTTTGCTGCAGCAGCAGCAGTCGAGTCCCGCTTTTTCGCCCCATCTGCTACACAAGCCAAAGCAGCAGCAGCAGCGCCGTTGCTGCAGCAGCAGCAGCTAACAGCAGCCCTGCAGCGCCAAACTGGGAAGCGAAAAGACCTCGCTCGATCCAGCGGGCCGCAGCAGATGGTGCTGTTTGCTGCTGCAGCAGCTGCAGCAGCTTCTGCTGCCAAACAAGCAGCACTTGTCTAGTCAACAGCAAGACAAATCGCCCCCAAAGACAGCACCACCGCCTGAGCGTTAGCAGCAGCAGCAGCAGCAGCACTCGCTGCGGGAGCAGCAGCAGCGGCAGCCCCAGCAGCAGGGCAGCCCTTTCTGCATTCCCAGCAGCAGCAGCAGGAGTGCAAGCAGCAGCAACAGCAGCAGCAGCAGCTGGCTGCATCTGCGGCAAGAATGGCGCCCGTGCTGCTGCGATCACAGCCGGTGCTGCTGCTGCTGCTGCTGCAGTGCTTCTGGCCGCTTTGGGCCACCGAGAACAGCACCAGCAGTGAGAGCAGCAGCAGCAGCAGCAGCAGCAGTTGTTCGGAGGGAGGAGGGTTTGAAGATCTGTGGGCGCGGCGGCCGGAGACAGAGGAGGAGAGCTTCCAAACCACAGCAGCAGCAGCAGCAGCAGCAGCAGCAGCAGCACGCGAGGCGGAAGCAGAAGTGCTCTCGTTCGAGGAGCCGGGCGGCGTGGGGACGCTGGACGTGGACGCAGCAGCAGCAGCAGCAGCAGGCGCAGCAGCGTACCCGCCGTCAGCGCGGGCGCAGCAGCAGCTGCTGCTGCAGCAGCAGCAGCAGCAGCAGCAGCACGACCAAGACATGCTGGACTTCAAAGAAGCCCTCAAAGCTCAACTTGGAAGAAGTGCAAAACAAGTCCATGGTTTGCGTCAAGACATAAACTGGCTAAAGTCCGCAGTGAAGGACTTGGACCTCACCACCGAAACCCTCAGTAAACCCTAAACCCTAAACCCTAAACCCTAAACCCTAAACCCTAGGCGCTGGCGCGGGCGCTTCGCGCCCGCCCCCGGCTCCCGCCAAACCCTAAACCCTAAACTCTAGGCGCTGCGGCGCAGCAGCTGCTCCGGGCTCGCTGCGGGCCCCGGGCCCGGAAGAGGCTTTGGGGTTTAGGGTTTAGGGTTTAGGGTTTAGGGTTTAGGGTTTAGGGTTTGGCGCAGGCCAGCCGCACCCCTCGCAGCCCCTGCTGGACCTGCTTTCCGAGAAAACCTCTACATTGGAGGAAAGGGTTTTGAATTATATTTCGGGAAACTTTACGGAGTTTAAGGAGCAGCTGGAGGAGCTCATGGCCCTCAAGTTGCTGCCTTTCCACCAGGCAAACCCTAAACCCTAAACCCTAAACCCTAAACCCTCGGCGGCGGCGCCGGGGCCGCGGGTGCGGCGCGACGGCCGCGGGCCCCGCGGCAGCCGCAGCCGCAGGGGCTGCCCTTGGGCTCTGCAGTCAGGCTCCAGGGTTTAGGGTTTAGGGTTTAGGGTTTAGGGTTTAGGGTTTAGGGTTTGCTGCTGCAGGACTACGTAGACACTACTTACCGCGCTGCCTCGCTGGTGACGGACTTGAGGAGAGTCACAGAAGACCTCCGCCGCGTCGAGGCCGAGATCCACGTCATTGCTGGCGAACACGTAGGGTTTAGGGTTTAGGGTTTAGGGTTTAGGGTTTAGGGTTTAGGGTTTATGGTTTAGGGTTTAGGGTTTGGGGCTTGGGGTTTGGGGGGCGGTGGGGCGTGCGGGGTGGGAGGCGCGAGGGCGCTTTTGCGGGGGTGGGGGGCTTGGAGTGTTTGAAGTTAGGGTTTAGGGTTTAGGGTTTAGGGTTTAGGGTTTGGGGTTTGAAGGCGGTTTGGGGCCCTGGGGCTCTTCTGCTAGGGTTTAGGGTTTGGGGTTCGTTCGTGGCCCGTGGGCACTTCAGCGAGGGTTTAGGGTTCAGGGTTTGTAGTTGTTGTGTGGCCCTGGGGCTCCTCAGCTAGGGTTTAGGGTTTAGGGTTTGGGGCTTGCAGGCGGCTGGCGGTCGTGGGCTCTTTGCTTTGCACTTGAGCTAGGGTTTAGGGTTTAGGGTCTAGGGTTTGTGTTCCCCTTCCCCTCGCCTCGCGCCCCTTGTCCCCAGCGCCCTTGTCTCGGGTCCACGCTCTAGGGTTTAGGGTTTAGGGTTTAGGGTTTAGGGTTTAGGGTTTGTGGCGTCGCTTGTTTCTTCGTGGTTCGTTCCCCAGGGTTGCGGCTCCGCCGCAGCGGGCCCCCCCGGGGCCCACGGCCCGTGGCCCAGGGCCGAGGGCTAGGGTCTAGGGTTTAGGGTCTAGGGTTTAGGGTTTAGGGTTTAGGGTTTAGGGTTTAGGGTTTGGCGCAGGTGGAGCGGCTGCGGCAGTGGGCGGGGGAGCAGGCGGCGAAGTTCAAGGAGGCGCTGCGGGAGGCGCAGCCGCGGCTGCTGGCCTCTTTCGAAGAGCAGAAGAAAATGGAACAAACTCGAGTTAATTTTGCAATTTTAGAAGAAATAAAAATAAAAGCAGCAGCAGAAGATGCTTTAAAAGAAATCGAAACCCGAGGGTCTGCGTTTGTGGACCTGGGCGGCTGCTGCTCCGGATACACCGCAATCCACGTCGCCGAGCTGCTGCTGCACGAAGCCGCCAAAATCAACAAAACGGGAAAACGCCTGTGAGATTTCTCTCCGTTTCTTTTTTATTTCCTTTTATTTTGTTTATATTTCATTATTTCGCCTTTTCTCCCGTTTATTTCAAACTTTTCCCCGCAAAAAAACCGCCGCCGACGCCCCCGCCCGCGCAGCCGCTCCGCTGGAAGCTCCCGCCGCCGCTCGCGCCTCCGTGGTCCCAAATTAATGCACTGTGAATGCAAATATAATTATAAATATAATTTCCATATACATGCCAATATTTGCTCGTAAATAAAGATCAAATTCTGGTTGTTAACGCAGCAGCAGCAGCAGCAGCAGCAGCAGCAGCAGGGAGGTGAGGTGTGCATGCGGGAGAGCGGCTGCAGCTGCTACGAAATTTTCTGGATTTTGTTCTCCTGGATAATTTAATAAGAGGATAATTACTAAGTTTGCACTTGCGTGAATATGAGCTGCTGCTGCTGCTGATTTGGTGGTGAATTCGTTTGCTGCTGCAGTGCTGCTGCTGTGTGCTGCAGCATCCCCGTGTTTATAGTCACCGAGCCCGGCCAGCAGCAGCAGCTGCAGCCGCCGCCGCTGCTGCTGGGGCCCCGCGTGCTGCTGCGGGGAGCAGCAGCAGCAGCAGCAGAGAGAAGCAGCAGACAGGCAGCAAACGAAGCAGTCAAGGAGGAGCTCAGGGCCAAGGTCGCCGAGTTCAAGTAAACCCTAAACCCTAAATCAGCGTTTAATGCATTGAAATAAAGCAAAAAATAAACAAACAAATAGACAAACAAACAAACAAATAAATAAACGAGCAAACAAATAAACAAACAAATAATAAATAAACAAAGATGGCCTTGCACAAAGACTGCGTCCCAGTGTATCCCTGGTGAAAAAATGCCGTTTGAAAGCGCCGCCGCAGCAGCAGCAGCAGCAGCAGCAGCAGCAGCAGCGGGTGTGTGCTGCAGGCGCGTGGCTCGCCAGATAACGGAGGAGCTGCTGGAGAAGAAGGGCCCCCGTTTGGTGCGGCTGCTGCCGCAGCTAGCTGGGGACTCCGTGCTGCAGCGGGCTTCTTCTTTGAAGAGAGAAAAGGCCCTAAAGGGTACTAGAAAAAGACTTGCGGGGGCCCCCCTGCAGCTGTGGGGGGCCCCCCAGCAGTCTTTGCTGCCTCCGCTGTTTCTGCTGCAGAAGCTGGTGCTGGCGCACCGCCGCAGCCTGCACCGCGCGCAGCAGCAGCAGCAGCAGCAGCAGCAGCAGCAGCAGGAGGCGCCGGAGGCGCGGGAGGCGCGCGCGCAGCAGCAGCGGCAGCAGCAGCAGCAGCAGCAGGGCTTCTTCCTGCTGGCAGCAGACGGGCTGCTGCTCGAAGGCTCCCGTGTCACCCCACAAGGGGTCTTTTCAATTAAATTGCACTTTCCACCTTTTCCAGTACCCTTGGGGCCCCTCACTTTGCATGCGTTTTATGGCAGGGCCCTCGCCAAGGCCTTCACCTTCATTTTGAGGGGCCCCCGGGGGCCCCCCGACGTGCCCCTCGCCTACACCTTCCCGCCGCCCTTCCCCTCCCCCTGCAGCAGCAGCAGCAGCAGCAGCAGCAGCAGCAGCAGCAGCAGCGGCGGCGGCGGCGGCAGGCAGGAGCAGCAGGCGGCTGCGCACAGCCAGCCGGAGGCCAGCGCGGGCGTCGACGCCGAGCTGCTCGAGCAGCGGCAGCAGCAGCAGCAGCGCCAGCAGATGCTGCTGCTGCAGCAGCAGCAGCAGCAGCACGAAGAGGCCTGCGCCCGCAGCAGCCAACAGTGCCCTGCTGCGCCCCTGCTGCTGCTCCCCAAACACTACAACCCTTTCCAGGGCTGCACCGGGCCCCCCAGAAGCACTTTGGCAGACTTGTACGCCAGCAGCAGCAGCAGCAACGCAGCAGCAGCAGCAGCGGCAAGCCCTGCAGCAGCAGCAGCGGCGGGCGCGGGCGCGCGCGCCGGGGAAGCCAAAGCCGCTGCAGCAGCAGCAGAGGCGCGCGGGGCAGCTCTGCCCGCAGCCAGCAGCAGCGCAGCAGCAGCACTCCCAGCGGCTCTGCTGCCGACAGACCTGCTGCTGCAGCAGCAGCAACCGGACCTGCTGCTGCAGCAGCAGCCAGACCTCCTGCTGCGGCAGCAGCAGCAGCAGGACTTGTATTTGTCCCCAGACGTCGCGCGACTGCAGGCGCTCTCCGAGCAGGAGGACAGGGCAGAAGCAGCAGCAGCAGCAGCCGT